ACTTATATTTTCCAACCGAGATAATCGACGGTCTGTCAGATAATTCTTCGTTATTCTGTTTGTGTTTCTAGATGACAACTTGAGGATTCTACTACATTGGGCGGAAGAGTTCGAAGTGACTCCTGTACTGACCAAATGTGAAAAGATCATGAGAGAGACCTTGTGCAATTCTGAATCGCAAGTTGAGGTGAATAAGATTATTGAATACTTACTCCTATCTTGGAAGTACAACATCCATTCGCTTCAAGTAGGTAAATACCTTCCAGTTATACATACAATTGGTTTTACAGGCATTTCCTGTCTATACTGTGTTTGATAACGAATGTGAACACTTCGTCTTGAACTATGTGATGAGTAGTCTACATTATCAGGAAATGGACACTGTCAGAAGACTGAAGTTGCTGGAGCTTGTTCTAGAGTCTCTGCTATATCATCATCATGCAAATAAAAAAGTATCAAAAAAAAATGAACCTCCAGCTCGAATCGTAAATGCCAAAAATGATGCTTCATTTGGATTCGGAGGGTTCAACAATCATGCTCCATTTGGATTCGGAGGGTTCAACAATTATGCTCCATTTGGAGGTTTCAGGAATTATTCTGATGGATATTAGTACAAATTGTTACAAGAAGTGCTATGTTCAGAAGACAGAAGTGTTATAAACAATATTTTAATTTGTTATTGAACTGTACTAAATATATAATCTGTTCTGCAAATCAAATGAATATTACATCGTGTATTCCAATGAAGGTTACAAACACAAATAGTTGACAGTTTCCTCTTTCATTGGACAGTTGAAGTATTAGCTATCAGTAAAACTATGAAGGTCACAATTACGGCTCGAAAAACCGGAAGTTTCAGATTACTCAATCATATCATGCTCTCCAAATGAAAGAGCGGTTTGTTCGGAATCTGTAAGGTGGTAGATTTTGAAAACATCTAAACTTTACAAGCGACGGCGCATTAGAACGGAAGAACCATAAACGGTGTAGATTCGTGTCTCTTTCTAACGATCGGGAATCATTTGTTTGGGAGAGCCGAACAGAGAGTACAACTGAGTTTATGACCCTTTATTTACTTAACTTTTGTCAGAAATTATATAAAAATTATCACTAAATCCCGGAAAAACAATAAAATAAATAACAAATTTTAATACTTGGCCTTCTTCTTCTTGGCCTTCTGTTGTTTAGGTCTCATCTGGCGGGGGCCTTCGGCGATAGGTGCTCCAACTGGTCTTGGCGATGCGGGAGAATTCGAGGTAAACTCACTTAATTGAATATATTCTTAAAACAATCAAAGAAAAAATACATACACGTTTGGATTTGCACTGGAAGATCCTTGTGTTCCTCTACCAATGTCTCTATCACGGTTCTTCTTATATTTTTTCTTATAGGCAGCACGCTCTTGCTTAGGTAACCATCTTTCCGGATCCGGAGGAGTGTTGGGGTCGTAGTTCTTGGGCAAGCGTATTTTTCTCTTACGCTTTCTATTCTTCAACTTTCTCGTGATTATCTCCTGGCAAAGAAAACATTTGAAAAAGAAGATGTCGTGATTAATACCGAATCTTCAACTTCCATTTTCGTTTCTTTCTTTTGTCTGTACTTTTCGCCGTATAATATCCAATCACTCTCTTCTAACTCCTCAACATTAACCCCAGCGGCATTATCATCAGGGAATACCTGTGAGAGTCAGTATTAAAGAACATGAATTCATAAAAGAGTAAACCTTAACGCTCAGAGCTTCAGCCTTCTTAGGATCGACATCAGCATAGGCAAGAATCAGGCGGCATTGAATAGTTACATCCTCTGGAGAAATACTGAAATTCGATAATAGAATGTATAATGAAGGATTTAGAAAAACCTTGCTAGTTGTTCTAGATATTTAACTGCTTGTGCAGCTTCTCCTTGAGAGAGCTTCAGCTGAGCAGCTTGATCAAGGATGGTTTTCCGAACAAGAGGGTCGGTAGTGTTTTGCAGAGCTTTATCCATCTCCTGAACAAAACACCTGATGCAGATTTACTATGCAACATACCTTTCCAGCGTCATCATGTTTGTTCAATGCGACTAGGCAACTAACAATCAAACTCGCTATTCCTGGCTTGGATTTAAAGTTTGCAGGTAAACTGCGCAAAGCTTGAAGAGCATCATCAACCCTACCATTATTCAAAAGAATATGAATTTTCGCGAGCATTGTTTCCTCATCATCACCATCCAAAATCTTCAAAATTTTTCTTTATAAAAATCACTAAATGATTCTATAGAACCTCAATAGCTTTGTCTACTTCATTGAGTTTGACCAAAAGCGAAGCCTCTACGAGCCTCGAATCTTTATTTTTTCCAAACTTCTCGATCAACTCCGCAAGTGAACGTCGACAAGGTTCACGTTGATTAGATAACAGGAGTATGATAGCCTAGAACGAAATCGTATTCAAGAAATTTGAAAAGAAAGTACATTGTTAAGCATCAAGGTATAGCGCTGTTTTCTAGATAGCTTCGACTGATCCAGATGGAGAGCAAACTTGAACTTTTTGCGGGCGTCCGCCAAATTAACATTGTTGGAAGCACAAGGAATGCTGTTAACCAAAACTGCTTGAACACTGATGTCGCTAGGACTAAAAAAGAATCATAACTTTGCTAATTACGATATCCAACTTAGTAGCTTGAACAGCTTTGAAAAGTTCCAATGCTTCTTCAATTTTTTCCATTTTTAACAGAACGAAGGCTTTTTGAACATTGATAATGCTCAATTCCTCTTCACATTCCTCCTCAGACAATCCATCAGCTTCGAAATCTCGAGATGCGATACCTGAGAGGTTACGATTTAGGAACATTTCATTTTAGGTAATGTACTTATAGCTTTCTCCAAAAATTCCAATGCGGAAGTCCAATTCTCTTTTTCTATCTGATGGCAAGCTGCGTTGTAGAAATGTTCATAAGTTTCCAGTCCAGTTGAAATATTCTAATATATTATAGTTTAGGGATAGGTGTACTATTATTTCTTACTCCTGAAGTTCCCTGTGCTTCTAACTGAGCTTGCACAGCAATGAAGTTTGCCTTTCTTTCATCATCATAATCATCAGTGTGATTTTTCAACAAGTTCAGATAAATATCATGAGCTTCCTGAATGACAATCATAGCAACCAGAAACTATTGAGAAAAGTAACCTGGAAGCGCTCGAGCTTATAGTATATTTGAGCTTGCAATTCCTGAATTCTTGAATCGCCTTCGCCCTTAGAGGAAAGAGCACTCAGAGCTTCCTCAATTTTTCCCATTCTATAGAGAACATAACCTTTCTCAAAACTGATCTCTCCCATTTGATGGTTGGGAGTTTTCTTGATGAGAGTAAGAGCATCGTCGTACTGACCAAGCTGTATAAGAGCAATTACTTTGCACTTATAAGCATACACTTCTTTTGGATAACGACGAAGAACTGAAATAAAAAATATGAGGTAATCTCAAAATGAGGTTATTGTTACGTTTATTAGCCACTTGGAGACCTTTAGTATAATCTCCAGTGTCATCCACCCTAACGAGATCGGAGAGGCACTGGTAAAGACCACCTGCCTCAGATGTCATCTGAATAGAACTATAGAAATCGTATCAGAGAAGAAAAGATATTTGGAACGGCTGTAAAGCACACCGATATACACAAAGAGAAAATCTTGAATATTACTCAATTATTAACAATGAGATAAATAATCAGATGGAGAATAAGTTCATGAGAGGAGAACAAAACAAAGGAGCGAAGCCTCACTCATACGAAGATCAACTAAACTGGGAATAACAACAGATCAGAGAGGGCAAATGGAAAAAATAAGACAATAAGATTGTCAGGTCAAGAAATATAGATACATAATTTTGAGGAAACTGCACAAACTATTCAACAGAATTTCCACCTATTTCCACATTCCAAACAGAAAACAAAAGTAGTCATAGGCTCATCAGAAGATCTTGTCTGCAGTTGAGTGTATGTGCAATTGTTCTTCTTACATTTTCCACATTTGAACATATCAGAAGGAGTACCTGGAAAATATCATAAGATGCTGCTTAAACTATCGTACAAACCTTGCTGAGTAGCCATCTGATACTCGTTGATTGCTTCATGATTGAATTTCTCTCTTTGCTGCCGAATTTCGTCTGATGCCATTTCTTCGCTGGTCATTATAGCCAACTTCTTAGGCTTGATAACCCCGGTCAGAACATTTTCTCTAAAGAGAACGCAACTGTTTTCAAATCTTTAATCATTCCTACCTAAGAGCAGTATTCTTCTTATCGCGGAGGTTGAAAACACGACTTCTCAGACCAGCCTTATACTTGTCATTTGTTCCTTTATGAACCTAAATGAAAATGGTTACGATGCAAAAATATAAAAATAGAGTACGTCGTATAAAGATTGCTCTATATCAACAGCCAAAGACTCGGGATCTAAAGTTCCATCAGGCAGATCCGTATAACGGAGAGCATTCAGAATCATTTGAGCAGACTTGTTCCTAACCTGTAGTCATAACATGCTTAAGAACATTTGAAAGTGAGTTACATCATCGCTGAGAAGATGTTTGGGAGGAAAGGTCCCACTTGAGCTAGAAGGTACAGGTACTGGAGGTTTCTCCGGTTTCTTAGTGTCTTTTTCTTTTGCTATCTCTTTTCCTTTTGCAGACAAGTTAGACGAGGTAGAATCGTTACGAGGCATCTGAGGAATATCATTTAACAACACTATCCGAGCGATACAACAACACCTTCTCGTTCAACTCTTTTTTGTCTATGAGATTTTTCCATTCTTTAATCAAATTTTTAGCTAACTTTGCAAGCTTCTCATCTGCAGTCTTCTTTCTAAACTCATTGAGCTTCTTTCCAATTTGAGTACTCTAAACCAAATAAAATTTTTTTTAAATCATTAAAAACTAACTGTGAGCACTTCCAATGTAATAGGAAGTCTGCCTAAAGCGTCCAACAGTTCTACCGCATCATCAGCCTTAATAAAACTGATGAAACAACAACTCATGATAAAATTTGAGAAAAGCAACCATTCGATTGAATGGAAAAAAATGAGATTCGCAACATATACAAGACTTACAGAAATATCAAGCTGATGCAAAAAGTTCGAACAAAACAATAGGGAAGAGCAAAAAAGAAAGCAATTATGAACTATAAAAGTACACGTACCGGTTTTGAGCCTCCAATAATCTTGTCCAATTTTGACCCTATAGTTAACACTTCCGTTTCGCAAGACATATCTACCAGTTTCCTACATGCAAAACTTGAATCATGGAATAATTGATCGATAATTATGAACAAACGGAAAATACAAAATAAAATATTTTAATTATACAATTTCGAGATTCAAAATCAAAATGCTGTTGAACAACAAATTGTTTGTACGCAACTGGTCGTGTAATTTTGTTGCGACTGTTACATTGACCAGTGCCGAAAAATATTGAATTATATTATTCTTAATTGAATTCTCACCTAGATATCAGGATAGGTTTAAGACAAAAACCATGGGTGATCAATCTGCGATATTGCTTAATACGCAAGCTCAAAGCGTTAATAAGGAAAGCGAGGCAGAGGTAAAACCTAAATCAAGAAAAGAAAAAATGGCCGAGCGTAAATTGGAATACTGCGATCCTGTAAGAGAGAGCCAACGTAGACTATTAAAGGTAAAAGAGAAATGAAATTTCCAAGGAGGCCCAATGCATTAAGGATGTATTTGTCAGTGGTGTAGAGGATCATGAAAAGGAGGACTTGCTTGAAAACATTGTCTACTCCATACTCGAGGACGCTGAAAACCCTCTACTTGATATTGTTTCTTTCTATCAGTGTTTACCTGATCAAAAATCAACTGATTTGAAGAGTTTAACAGGTAATTAGACATGATTGAACAAGCTGAACGTAATATCTTAAGGTCGTGTTGTCTGTATGTTTTATAAATGGGTTCACAAGGTAAATCTCGAGGATATACAGGAGAAGTATTTAACTTCCGAAGTCAAGGTCTACTGTTATGGGGAACTGTTTAAAATAGAGTAGTTATAGGACGTTGCCTTCGTGGCGTTCTCTCAATTCCATTGTAGTTTCTTAGACAAGCTCGAGAAAATTTATTTATTTAATCAGAATGGTCATGAAATGTTTGTGAAACAAATTGAGGTAAAAAGGAATCGGAGCATAATAGATTGAGAAGACTTTAGAACTTGAGCCAAAAGCGATTGTATAAAGATGCAATGGAACTGGCATGTCATGCTGGAATATTTCATAAATATGACGTTTATGATTTTGTCATTCCCTTATTCTTACAAGACAAAAGCCAAGTAGCCGTAACTGCTTTGCTGGCAGATGATCAATGTCACCATTTGAAAGTCACCTTTTATCATAACTCCTTCCACTAACTGCTGTACTTCAGGTGAAACTTGTGAAGTTCTTGGATAATTTACTTGAGAAGGGAGATGATGGAAGTAGGAAGATATTAGAACCTTACAAGGAGTTGAAAATTATGACTTTGCCCTTCGAGAGATTCCAAGGTTAGAAAACTTTCATCGCAGTATTCCCCTTCTCTTCCAGGAAAGACTTTGGAGAAGCTTATAGCTAGGGTGATTGACGAGTTAGATTTGGGAAAAGAAGAAACGTGTGCTCCAAGCTTCTATCGTGGTCGTCTACTGGGAAACATTCGATATCAGGTGTACGAGAGGTTTGTTTTAGCAAAATCGTTCAAATCATCCCCATATCGCGTATATCAAGGTATAAGGACGACAAAGTGAAAAGTGATATAGCATACTTTGAGTTGCTGAAGGTATGATTACTACTTTGGTTCAACTCAATTAGGTTCTTACAGCACACGATTGACAGTACTAAGGATAAAATGAAAGTTCTCACCTATCTCATTGAATATCTATTGAAGAACGATCATATGTAAGTGTTATCGAGAGAATTTTGGGATACAGTTTGTTGCTAAGAGATGATGCCATGAGATGGGCTATAGCTTATAATCGTCCTATAGATGCTCTCCCAAGTATTCTACAGAAAGAAATCAGAGAGAACCCAAGAAAATTCGAAGAAGCAAATAAGATTGTTGAAAAGTTAACTTAAGATTTTTCTAACCGAAAGGATCATTCAATCTGTATATAGGTACAAGAATTCCAATGTCGATGAAGAGGCATATTTAGAGGATAATCATCCCATTCACATGATTGATGATTGGGAGGCATTGAAAAAATTGATGGAAGAAATAAAAAGAACAGAATGTATTGGATTAGACTCGGAGTTCAAGCCATGTAATGGGCTCAAAGGGGCAGGGTTAGCTTCGTTTTCTCATCGTATTGAGGTTAACAGTGAATATACGTTTCAGTGTTGCGCTCTTGCAGTGCTCATTGGTACATGAGACCTACCTTGTGGATATTTTTACTTTGGAAAACAGTTTGGATCAAGAACAATGGAGGATGTTCCTAACTACACTACTGTGTGGGGATTCGTTGAAACTAGGTAGAAGCGCTCGTTTTTTTAAAATCATTTGCTTTGTATTGCAGGTTTTGACTTCCTAAACGATATGCAAGCTTTCTTCAATAATCCTCCTTTCAATCTTCTACAAGATATTGTGCAGAAAAGTAATGTCATCTGTTTGAAACGATTGGTGGAGAATGTAAGTTTCCATGAGCAATGAATGCTTTAACCAGTTTTACTTCCAGATTATACAAGTTGATGAATTTTTCGTAGATTTCACAAGTTACCGTTTTCTTTTCTCTTCTTGGTACCATTCAATTTCAGAAATTTCAAAAAGTCATGATGGTTCCATGACTGATCATGAGATCGGAAATGTGGATATCGTTCACTTCGGGTTAGGAGATTTGGCAGTTGTGTTCTGTGGAGTTCCATTGAAAAAGGGTGAACAGGTGCTCAATTAATTTGGTAGGGAGTGAGAGTTGTTTCGGAACTGAAGATTCAAAGTTTTATTTAATACAAAAATGCAAAAACTAACGCAGCGAGCAGGGTTCGAACCTACGCGGGCAATGCCCATTGGATTTCAAGTCCAACTCCTTAACCACTCGGACATCGCTGCACGATGTAGCTTTTGTTCCGTTGTGTACAAGACATGACAGCAGCCATCGTCATTGATTTACAGTGCAGTAATTGGAATTTGAGACCACTTAGAAGAGAACAGAAAATATATGCTGCTATGGATGCTTACATTGTTACCCAAATTTTCTCCAAAATCAAACTTTTGGCTGAGTTTGTTCAAATATCATCTGTTGATAAACATATTTGTTCTGTTAAGAGAACGAGGACTCGTTTTGGATAACTTCGTTGCGGAATCAATCGTGAATTCATTGAAGAAAGCTAAAGTGAAAAAGGATAAAGTGAAAATTGATGAAATGGAATGGGCAGAATGTATTGAAGTTTGTTCTGTGTTTTAAAGATTTGCTTACCCAAAGATTTAGGCACTGAACAGCAAAGTTATCGGAGATACAAGTAATCCTCGCAAGCCGAAAGATCTCAAATGTATCGTTGATATGATGCTCATAGGCTTAGGCAAGAATTTGCGGTAAACAACAGCTATGTAACTATCATTCAAAAAATATATTAAGGCGGATTGGCGTAGATGTTGTAATGTGTGATTCGAAACCTCAAGTCAGTTATGAGGCCGCTCGAAGACCTGAACGAATAATTTTTACTGCTGGCCGATCATATGATACTGTAGGTTCTTACTGACTTGACAGAAGTACATGAATGTTTTCAGCTTCGGATGACATTCCCATCTCGAGTAGTTTGTATACAAAATGTCGCATGTAACCCATTAGCCCAATTGAAGAAAGTTGTTGAGAAGTACAACCTCGTTTTTGACAAAAAGGATATTTTCAGTCGTTGCATAGTTAGTTAGATTAAATTTTCTTGATACATGTTTTTAAGGAATGTAATTGCGAGCATTTCTTAAGAGCACCTTCAATAGTTCTTCGTGCATTACACTATTGCCAGGTAGTTTGTGCAGGACCTTACCATTTCGATCCTTTTGATTACAATGGTAAGATGGCTTTTGGATTGGGAACTTAAATTTCTTGTTCAGCTTGGTTCGATAAACTTCAAGAAGCAAGCAATGCGAACACTAATCCTATTTCTTTCCGTATTGACAGGTCACCAGATTCAGAGGAATGGATCTCTGTTACTGTTGAAGATGGAGTTGTTGACATAACGTAACATAAGACAAAACTTTTTTCGAGTTATGCTATAAATTACAGAAGAAATATAGTTCTTCATCGAAGTAGAGACAGTGGCATTCCATGTGCGATTGCTAAAGTTCCTGAGCAAGTTTTTCATTATGAAAATCGTTTCTTCTACATTTGCTGCCAATGTGGCAAAGTATACTGGGATGGGAAACATAAAGATATCTATAGCGAGGTTTGACCTTGTTTAGCGAAAGTTTTGTTTTCTGAAGTTCATGAATATTCAGACTATGGAAAGTCTCTCAACCAACTTCAACGCGTTAAGAATAAATTCTACGACTGATTAGTTGTAATTCACTCCATATCAAGCCTTTTTGTTTGTTTTGTTTCCTACTGTTGAGTTTTTCATTAAAATTTTGCCATGTATTCAAGACCGGTATCACAGCAAGAGAACGAGAGAGCGAAATCATTCAGTCAGCCATGCATTCAACCACCTTTTTTCTTTTTCTCTTTTATAGTTTTTTCTGCTGCCAACGACAGACAAATACAACGAGAACAATTGAAACATTTCTTCCACACACCATAAGATACTTCGTCCTTATGCCCATGGTCACTAGAAAGGTCTTGAACTTTTCTTGATGTGAACTTAATTAGCCAATCTCCATCATCGTTTATATTCCTTGCTCTCGATTGCATGACTCTCAATCACACTAGTACAAGTGAAGAGATCCAAATCCATTGTCGCGCTGTATCTAAAATCTAATCATGACTAAGGTTTATTGATGATCTCATATGTTTATAACTTATTATCCAGTAACCAAGATGTTACGCATCTTCAACTCTGGTCGCCATCAGCAACGTCTTCCATTTTTAGAAATTTGCCGTCTTTAATGTATAGGGTTCTCACCATTTACCACACACATACATACACATGTCCTGCGTCTCTGTCGCTGCCCGCCTTTAGTCTCCGCCTGTTCCCAGCTACTACTAGCCTTCCTCTCTTCTAGCTCAACTCCCACGACGGCTGTCTCTTTTCTCGCAAAATGCATGCTACATTCAAAGAGAATAAGAGGAGGAGATAGTTCAAAAGATTTCAACCTATTACATGTTTTTCTTTTAAAAGTGATACTAATAATTCTTGAAGTTGTTGTGTTGTTTTTTGATTCTATTGATGGTTCAGTGATTTCTGGCTTCTCATTTTTCTTTCTCCTTTGAATCGAGAAAGATAAAGGATTATTTACGCTTCACTCACCTTATTACTTGCCAGATGTTCGGAAATTTTGTTTAAGTATTTGGCACATTGCCCTATATGATGATGGGCTGTTTACCTGTTGAAGCTTTTTTTTTCTCCAAAATTTGTTTGTCATCATTAAGCCATCTGTTGAGAATTAGTTTCGATATCTCTGTTTCTTTTCATTGAAATCGATGTGTGAGAGCGTTTCATGCAACGAAATGAATGCTCGAATATTGTGAATCCGTCATTTTCTTGCGATTTATTGAATAACTGAAGCTTTTCTTCATCAACTCTTTAAGCTTCTTTTCGTCTTCCCCTGTTTGTTTGTGTTGATTGGAATTTAAAACTAATTTCTCATATTTATGAACATTTTCATACAAGCTTGAACACTTCTTTTTTATTGATTTCGTTGTTTAGACTAATGCTCGAAATGAGAGGACAGAGAGTCAGAAAGGTTTCTTTACGCCTTATAAACTTACTCTTCCTCTCTATCTGCATATTTTTCATGACTGTTTTCACTATTTTTCTTTTCTCTACGATTCATCACAACAGCTGTATGCTATATGCTTTCCATTTCTTTCAATTTTCAGCATGAGTGCATCAGACAGTCTCATGCCCGGTCCTGAGGGCAAAACACCTCGCTTTTACGAAGTTGATCGAGGTCAAAAGACTGAAAGTTATATAACGGCTGTTTCTGGTAATCCCGTTGCCCCCGGACCATCCGGCACATTAGGGTCATCATCAACAAAGAAGAAGCCGATTAAATACAAGAAAGTGAGTGATAAGTTTCTCTATTTCCAAAAATTTCTTGAGGGATGCAAACGTTGCTCAAAGCGAGAACTTTCAATTTTTGTTTGAAGTTTAACATTTTCAACAAAAAAAGAGGAGTGAGAGAAAGGTGAAACGATGTTGCCTCAGAGCATATGCGGCTGTTCGTGTAAATTCAAATGTTCTGCCTGTTGTTGTTAGCATAAATCACTAATATCTAAATGTTTCCTCACATCCATCTATCAAAATGATAGATAAACTGCGATTTTTGGGGCCAAATTACATTACATCACTAAGCTGCCTAAGCTTCTTCTCATAACACTTGATGAACTCAATAGAGTAGATATGAGAACAGAGATAAAGAGAGAGAGAGAGATATGGAGGGAATGTGATATTGAAAGTCTACCTACTGCTTGAATTGTCGATTGAACCATCATACAACCGTTCTCAGGCATTTAACTAACAGCTATAAAATAGAGCGTGAAACGCCACGTGATCATAGTCATGTGGCAGTGTTTATGCTAATTAGCTGAAAATAAAGGGAAGACAACAAATATTGACTATAATGCAGTTATGTGGGATAGAGCAAATTGAATTTAAGGGAAATGTAGTTAACTATATAGTTAATAATATGCGTAATTAGGTTTATGATTTTTTGAATAACGGTGGACAATCTGCCTATTGTGAAGCCGTTTCAACTTCTTCTTTCTGTTTGTCTTGGACGATGTAGAGTTTGCAACAACTACTCAGCAACAGTTAATGAGACCCATAGAACATATAATTATTTCATATTACTTAATGCCTTACTTTCCAAATTCTGAAAAGGTAATGCTTGACAGGTTGTCTCTCAATTATCTTGACGTATTTGTGTGTTGAACTTGTTTTAGACTGCCTCAGGGCATTTAGGCATTCAGAAGACCTAAAGTGCTATTGAATTGAGAAAGAATTTGGAGACAGGCGAGGTGTGAGACAACTAGATGGCAAAAAAGATTCAAAGAGAGATTTAAATATCTACATAGCTCTTAAATGACCATCTGGTCTTCAGAATAGTTATGTGGAACTGAAAACTCATATTAGGAATGTATCCTGAGGTTATTTGTGTTTATGATATGTTCAGTTGGTTTATATGAAGAATAATTTGAATATATTATAAGCTTTAATATAAAATCATTCTCATACTATAGATTATGAAGAGAATTTCATGGACGAAAAATCGTTTATAGCGTTCAATAGCGAATCATGTTAAGTTCTCTCAGTTTCTCTCTCCGCTTCCATTCTGCCTCACACTTGGTTCTCTTTTTATATATTCATATCTCTTCTGGTGAAGGAGAGTTTCCTTTTGAAATTTAGTCAAATATGGACAAATCTTACTTCTCATTTGCATAATATACTGACATTCATTGTCAAATAAAGGAACACAAGGACATGTTTGCGACACGAACTTTAAAAAGTTGAATATCTTAGATAATGAAACATATAGGGAGGTGAAGAGGTCGGAGATATTGTTAATAGATAGCTATTATATATCTTGATAGCTATGTGAGTTACATATTTAACTGTTTCTAGGTAGATGATGAAGTTGTCGTTCTGACAGATGATGAGCCAACATCAAGGCCAAAGCCAGATGGACAAATAGGATTAACAGAAGACGAATTATTACAATTCCGTGATGACGGTTTCTGGAGGACAATCAGGTTTGTATTTTTAGCATCAAACAGAAGCTTTACCATAAACCATTATATATCAAATTATATCGATATAGTTAATATTCTATGTAAACTTTAAAACAAAAATATTAAAGTGCAATTTTGTGTATACTATTTGTGTACATGATTTATGTAAGCCGAAACCTAAATAGTTTATTCTTTCGTTATCGTCGCTAACTTAAAGAAATGTGTCTTCGACAGAGTCATAACGTCTAATGATATACACAAAGAGAATGAGAGAAAAGATCCGTTGAGCTTTCAAACAGAATGCTCAAGAGAAGAAGCACTAAAATTCATTTAAATCGTTTGCTTACAGTCTTTTAGATGTCAAAATGTTATTGAGAGAAAGGGCTACTGACCAGCTATTCGATTATTTGCGAAGTTGTCAAGTTGAGCTTTTTCCAACAGCTGAATAGACATAAGAAATTTTCCGAATTGATGAAGAAAAAACTGTGACAACTTTTCGTTTCACATGTGTTCGTGTGTGATTGAGCACCATACGATGCTTCTACATTCTAATTAAGACGGCTTTCTCTGTCTTCTGGAACCGCAACAATAGAGATTGTTTCCTTTCATTAAAGCTGTTTAGTATAGCTTTTGCCATGTTTATACCCTCAAGGGATTATATAATTCTTTCCTTTTGCAACATATGGTCTCAATGATTTGTCATTTGAACAGTCTCACGTCATTTTGACGTGGTTGAAGAAGAAAAGAGACAACCGCTTAAATATTTCATTTTGGCGGAACAAGGGGTTGAGAGCGGTTGTTTCAGAAAAAAGATAAATGTAAAGCAATTTGTTAAAAAATGATGAATTAGGATATTGTAATAGATCATTCTTCAATTACATATTTATGAAAAATTACCAAACATCAGAAACTGCTTTTGGTTTACATTTACTTTTTCTGTTTATATTGGAAAAAAGTATTTTATTAGTACAACTGTTGTATCTGCCAGATACCAAATATGGTTTTCAACATCATTCCATTGTTTATTTCTTCAAACAATGAACAGATGGCTGACCAATGATGAAAATCTTATGAATTCATGGACGGTTTAGAGAAAGTTCCCTGAGGGAATTTAATATGATTTAATGCCGTAAACGCCATATCTCACTTTCTTCATATTTCAGATTGTTCTTATTCATCCTTTTTTGGATACTATGGCTGTTGATGTTCATTGTGGCCATTATAATAGTCATCCTATCACCAAGCTGTACAGTTCGAGAGAAACCTCATTGGTGGCAGACTTCTGTCGCTTATCATGTGAGTTGCCCAAAATACTTTCTCTTCCTCTTTCATCGATCATTTTGCTCAGTTATTCTAATGAAGGAAAAAAAGAAACAACCAATACTCTTCAACCAAAGTTCACTCACAAATTCAATTTTCCCTCCAAAGCTTTTTAAATCCTTCCTATTCAGGTTTGGGTTCCATCTTTCCAAGACTCAGATTCTGATGGTGTGGGGGATGTAAATGGTTTAATATCAAGATTGGACAAGCTTAGAAAGAGCGGAGTTCAAGTATGCCATAACTAACTGCATGATTGTATAGTAATCAACACAGGTGGTTTGGCCAACACCATTCCTCTTGAGTGACGATTTTGGTCCAGCAGTGAGGAACTTCAACCAAATGGAAAGTAAAATAGGAGCAAATCAAGATGCAGACAAGCTGATAGATGCAGTTCATGAATTGGGTTAGTTTATAGTTAGTTGCATACAGTCTACATACAGGCAAGACTCTTAGAATATACTGCAAACATAAGATTGACAAAAAGAAATTTTCTTATGAGTATACACTAAGTGCTACAACTGTATGCACGTAGTATAAATCAAATTGATGTTCTAATTCCAAATTACTGGACGATTATCTTTAAGGAATGAAAATTGTGATCACTGTGCCCATCGCGTCCACCTCTCAAGAACATGAATGGTTTCTGGCTTCGTCAACAGCTAGCATTCCTGAAAACAAGAACTACTCTGAGGTAAAACTTTCCACCGTAAATAACAAAACAATGCGTTCATAGTTTTACCATTGGACTGATAATCCAACTTCATCAGAGTTCTATTCCAATTACAAATCATTAAACTTCCTTCATATAAAGTCAAATCCAAAAGCTGCTGTGCTCAATTGGAAGCTGAAAGATGTGAGACAGCATATGTTTGTGAGTATCATCTTGCATGTACAATTTTCTACAAAAAAAATTCTAGGATGTACTTTCGAAGTGGATGGAACGTGGTGTTGATGGATTCTATTTGTCAGAAATTGAATACTTAGCTCGCTCAGACGATGGAACGGAAGCGGTAAAGCTAACACATCTCAAAGAACTTTTTGATATTTCCGTTCAGAACTGGCAAGGAGTCTCAAAAATAATTCGAGAAATTCGAACTCACGTAGATACATACTCTACCGAGAGTGTTGTTCTAAAAGACCAGAATAAGAAAATGTCTGTATCTTATTCCTAGCTCTCATTCTATTTGTAACTTTTAGTGCATTGTTTGCTTCTCGGGAAGAAGCGAAAGAGAAAGATAAGCTTCTGTTAGCTTCTAGTGGTCTGAATACTATAATAAATTACGAGTTTGGAAGAATTGAAAAAGACTCAGGTAGTCTTTCAATTGGTTAAATCATACTCACATATCATTACAGATATCTGTCATAGAACAGAAGGAACTGTTGCCACCTGTGTTCATGAAATTCTTTCGGATGTTTTACTTTTCCATTCAAATCATGAGGAAGTATGGCCTCAGTGGGAGGTATTTATAAAGCTTTTGATAGCTTTACATAAAGAAACTTTTCAGTTTGGCAATCCTTACGTTTCTCGCGTAGCCACTCGAGTTGGTTCTCGGATACACGCTGAGCTTCTTTCGATGCTTCAATTGGTTTTACCAGGAACCAATAATGTTTATTATGGTGAAGAATTGGGAATGCGCGATTTGAGAAATGACTCATTGGTATTATCTATCTTGGTCTGAGCCTCTTCAAACTCACAACTTTCAGGTTCCACCACACAGAGGAGTAATGCAATGGGATAGTTCAATGAACGCTGGATTCTCAACGAAAGAATCCACAGCGTCTTTACTCCCTCCGGATTATGAGAATGTGAACTGGGAGGTAGAAGAAAAATAAGTTTGTTCCTTATTAACAATCGAATTTCAGCTTCAAAACGGAGAAGAAAAATCTCATCTGAAAATGTTTTCCAAATTGGCGAAACTTCGTCAACGAGATGAAACACTGAGCATTGGAAAGACTTTGGTAAGCTTTTTAAAGAATCTGAGAAAAAGAAAGGGTAACTCATTGAAGGTTGGACGTCTGGTTGATGGAGCTTTCACTGTCACTCGTTTTCTTCAAGAGAATAATACAACGATAGGAAATGTAGCTTTTGGAAATCTAGAATGAGTGTAAAGATTAAGATTTGTAGATATACGTAGCTGCCGTTAACTTCTCTCCAAACACAATTTCAATTCCACTCGTTGATCTTCCTCAGCATATCAATTTAGGGAAAAGCCAAGTAAGTCGAAGAATGCGGAACAACATGCTGCAATGAAAACTCTTTCAGATTGTTACAGTAACCTCTAACGTTCGCTCATTGTCAGCTCGCGAACCCGTTGATTATTCTTCTAAAAGTATAAGCTTAAACCCCGAAGAAGGAGTTGTTTTTAAATATCCAGCTTAAGCTTTGATTGCACAGAATAGGATAAACTTCTATGATATTTGCATAATCTTATAGAAATCTTTCGGTGCTTAGGCTCTTTCAATGTGAAACATTTTTTTGAAAAATGGATGAATTACCGGTTATATTATTGATGTTATTTAGTGCAATTAAATTTATTAATTAAATTATTTTCCTTTCTTCATATTCACAGAAAAAGGTTGGAAGAACAAGATCAAGCTGTAAAGAAGACAAAAAGCAGCGAAAATTGTAATTACTTGAAATCCAAGCTCAATTCGAGTACCTCAAAAGCATAAGCTGACTATTACTAGTGTTCAGATATAACTTACGATCACACATAACGTATTCATGATACTTGCCATAGACACTTTCGTATCGCTGAACGATGTTCGCATGTTTTTTCGTTTTTGAGAGCATGCCCTAAAAATATTTTATGAGCTGAGGACGAGAAACTCAGAATTACCATTGCCTCCTCAATGCTATTACAATAATCAGTAGTTGCACAAAAACAATTAACTCTCAAATTAGTTCCGGCGCTTGCTTCACACTCCATCTTCTTAAAGAGCTAGCGTATCAGAAGAATAATGAAATGATAAATAACTTTTGAGACATCGTATTTCTTAAATTCATCTTTGAAAACTCTAGACTGCAGCACATTCAGATTTTTCATTTCAATGTCTTCTCCTATGGAGATGATACAAATATCTCCATCTATCTCCTGAAATATGACTTTTCAACAGTGCAGAACGCGGAAGCGAGCTACTTGAGCCGGCAACGTCAGGCCATCCGTCAAGCCTTCTTTAAACTCATAGTAACATATTAAGGATTGAGTTCCATTGAGATACCTGAAATATATATAACTAAGTTAAGAAGAAGCTGACTTGCGAAAACAAACAAGAAGAACAAGAATAACAACCGCTTGTTAATCATTTAAATTTTAAAATGAAAATATCATAACTGCCTATCGATACGTATCCTTTGCATAAGGAAATCGTAAGAAGGAAAAGATTTTTGTTCATTCACACGCTATTCCCGAAGGATTTAGTGTTCAATTAACTGAGATTTCCATTATTTCAGTCTCTTTCTTCAAAAAAAAGAAAGAGAGAATGAGAGAGTCGGAGAGATGGTAGACAGAGAGAGAGGAACTGGAGAGCAAACGAGGGAGTAAGAGAGAAGAAGTGATATGTTTCATTGAACGAGGAAAGTTTGCAAGAATTTCCCTTTTCTCTTTCCTATTTCTCTTCTACAAATTCATATTTGGGAGATTTCTCTGCGATGCCTTCTTATCAATTCGTCAGATCAGCTTCAAGCCATTAGTTATGTTTGTCTGAACATCAGTTATATTTCAACTTCAAACTTCCAAGTTCTATATAAACTTATGCTTCATTCTGAAACTTGATCAAAGGAAAAGCTCACGAATAACAAAACCTTCGAAACTTCCTTTTATAGCTTATTGCAGGTTTCTTCTTTTAGTGTTTCCTTTGTTTTCAACGAAACATCAGCTGATGAGTTGATGACGATAGTTATGATCTACTGAAGCATCTGAGCGTTTTTTTGCTTTCTTCTCTTCTTTTTTTTGTCTTCTAATTCAATCAATAGACATCCTTCTCTCATTGTTTGTTATTCTTCTCTTCGTAGATGAGGAAAAACCAAATAAGTAATTCATAGAAAGAATTGACATGTTAATTTGTCTTTTTTAAGTCATTTTTCTCATAATTCTGTCAGATACAGCCATTACTTGCATCTGAAATATCCGCTCATACTACCAGCTGTCTGTTAACAACATACGATTTAGGCTTAAAGCATTTGTGAGTTTAGAGAGGTAAGAATAGATGATTCAAATGTCGAAAGGCTTTCAAACGCTATCTTATAACGTGATTGAAGAACGAGCCACTCACATCTGCGCTTTCAGGAGTAGTGGTCGAATCAAATTTCAAATTTCTTTTTTTCTGTCCCATATACGTTAAAGTTTTGGAATTCTAGTGGATGAAAAGGAAATTAAAAGCTTATGTTTTGATCATGAAATTTCCTGAAATATTCTAAAAATGTTTCCATTTTTCATAATTGTCCAATGGCTTTGCTTCTCTGTTCTACTACAATTCAGATTCGTTCTTCAATCTAAACCCAATCAAATAGCTTTACATACTTTACTTCAAACTGTGAATTTGACTGAGTTATCTTCTTGTCCTCAATAGAACAACCTTCAAATCCAGCTGAGTTCATAATATAGGCCGGAAATTGCCCGGTGGGCATATGCGCTTTTGCCGAACCCACAAATGATAAAATGGCCAATTATGAGACAGCTTGTTGTCATCACAAACAGCATAATCCATGAAACATTCTTGTTTTTCATAAGAATGTCATGACATGTTTTCATTAGCCTTTTTCACAAATGTTAATTAGCTGCAGCTTCAATGAAGCTTTAGACGTTAGTGAGTAACTCCAATTGGAGCTTTAACGGTTTAAAATTGAAGAAGCTTCTTGCCCTTTGCTTAAAAGATTACATAGAAAGATCATCATTGTGAACATGATCATTTGCTACAAAATATAATATTTATCAATAAAATAGATAACTATGCATACATATAGTTAGCTATATTATACTATATAGTGTAATATTCAATTGACACACTAAATACTTGCAGACAAACCTCATTTTACTATGCCCCAAACTGCCTTAAATTCAATTTTCTTGAAACCTTCCACACAATATTTCCTTTGAAACTATTTTTTCCCAGCAAAAATATTATTTTTCTCAATTTTCAATTATTTCTCACGTTTTCACGTGAATTTTACAATTTTTTTTTTTCGTCTTCGAATCACAATCAAATGAAGTCACACTTGAGATGGAAGTTCATTTTTGAGTTCTCGTAAGCACGAAGCGGTTGTTCTTTTAGTTGTTTTGTATGTAAGCTGAGCTTTATGTGGCCATTTAAGGCTATTATCATGTCAAGAGAAAGGAATAAAATTATTTTAAAAGCGATCATATTTTACAAAGAAAAGTTTGATTTATAACTTTTCATGTACAAATAGCTTTTTGAAAATAAAAATCCTTTTTCGTCTTGTCATGTTATTCAGCTTCATCTTCTAGCAGCTAGTACTTACATATATTACATAATATCTTAACTATATGATATAATTACGGATACGTCATAAGCTATTTATTCTTTTTGTTCTTCCAACATTTTCTTTCTTCTTTTCGTTAATTAGTGTTCTCAGCTTTAGCTTAAAAGCTTATTTGCCTATACTTCCTTTGTACAAGAAATGCTTTATATAAAACATTTGCTCATTCTCAAAACGAATTGTTTAAAACAATCTTGTGTCAACCAAAGAATTAAGGAAGATACACATGCACAAGCGGAACATTTTAAGGAAAAAACAACCAATAGCCAACGGCACATGATGAGCTTTTTGAGTTCTTTCTCTATTCTGCCATATTCTGAAGTTTCGTTGATCTGACTCTTTGACAATCCACAACACACCGACCTCTATTCCTTTTCACACCTCTCACTTAACGTTGCCATGACAGATTTTTTGATTTTTTAAGAAAATTTCATTATTTTTCATATGTTTCTTCGGTGTTTTCTCTTTGCGTTGCTGCATGCATTCGAGTGTTTCAAAAATTATTTTTGAAAGTTACTTTTAACGACATGTGTGATGTTCCTTCTGGCTATGAACTCACGTCACTGCATTTACGAACTTTTGTCCATGCTTCAATACCTTAAGGTGTCTTGTCCGCTTAACAATTCGACGGCCATGTATGAAGTTCTCTTCTTCTTTCTCACCTCTCCCTCTTTCTTACTCTCTTACTCTGCTCAACACTATAGAAGATTCTCTCTGTTTTCATTTCACGTTCTCTCTCTCTCTATTTCTATGAACAATTCTCTCTTTAATTATATCTTCAATTCCTCTTTTAATAATAAAATTTGGCAAATACTTTGGCTGTAATTGCAAATTTTTAAACAAAAAAATTCGAAACGATGGTCTGCCATAAACAGCCGGAGGGCATATACCACACACTCCTTACGTAGAATCTATTTCACTAACTATACGTATGTGTATGTATATACAACTAATCTTTCGTCTTAAAAGAAATTCTAAAAGGCTCTGCAAACCTAAGTTTATAGGGTGGTTGGTCATTCTTATATGAATATCCATCCCATATCATGCTTTTCCTTCTTACTTTTCAATTTTTTGAAACAGAAATAGTTTGAGACGCCCACATGTCAACGTTTTTGACACCCAGATATATATATAGAGAGAGAAGAGAGAGAGTAGAGAGAAAGAGAGAACAGAGAGAGAGAGAGAAAGAGTTAAAGCTCTGCGAACCTTGTCGGATGGCCATTGTTGCATTTTGAGCTTTCACCATCCAAGCCATCCCTGTGTAATTGGCAAAAGGTGCTGGAAATCCTTGGTCTTTCATATGAAAAAAAAAGAAAATATTCCGCAAACTCTTATGAAATGATGTGTTTGTTTTCAAAGTTGTCGAAAAGAAAAAACTCATTTCGGCATTTACAGAAAGGCGGATAAAAAATATTTCAAAAGCTCTAGCTTCTTTGATTTTCATTTCCTTTTTGTCTCTTATTCAAAGTTTCATGTGTGCAAAGGAAGCAATTGAAAGTTTCAGATTGTCCATCGGTCACATTAGTGCGGCAGATTCTGACCACCCCTAACTACATGCTTAGATCTCTAAACGATTGCCTAATAGTCAAAATCTGTGAGAAATCATTAAATTGCCTTAGGCAACAAGTCCAATTCTACATTGAATTTCGTTTTTTTCTGTTCCTTTCTTAGCTTCAAACACATTTCTACACTCCAACACATGGTCGTCTATAAAGGTAAAAGGAAGGAAAAGCGTAGTTTCTATGCTTAAAACAAAAAAAAAGCTGTTTCTCAATACTTTTCTTGCCATTCCTCTTTCAAGCAACATATTTGCATAAAAAAAAGAAAACTTTATTATTTTTTATTTGTAAAATTACTTCTCTTGAAACTTCTACTTGAGCTTTTGTTATTTCCATTGAACATTCATTCATAAGCGATGTTAGTACTCCCCACTTGGACGGATTTGTAGCTCTTCCAGACCTCTGCCTTCATATACAGCTATGTGAAGGAAACATCAGAATGTTATTATTTATTATTATACTTTTACCAATTCTTTTATAATGCTTTTATAACTATATAATTATAACTTCATTTTATATGTTCATGAACAACCGATTCACTCGTTTCGTGAAAAATGAAAATAATTTTCATTTTAACGCTAATTTCAAGAACATTCGGTTGTTCATGACTATGGTCAAGTGGTTCGTTCTTTTTTCTTTCCTTTCCGCTCTTTCCATTTTCACTTCCTTCTCTAATTTTTTATTATGTTAACTTCTGTATTTCAGTTTGAGCTGCCAATGCTTCATTAGCATATTTTTGAACAAACAAAACAGAAATTAGCATAAAGCTCGACGACGGTGCGTTTGTATTTCTCAAAGAAGAAACTTTCTTTACGTCAGCTGTTATACTACATCTATAGACTATATGTAATATTGCATTAGATTAAATGACATACATATAGTTTGCATAGTTAACTGTTAAGCAGCTGTCGTTAGTTAAGGAAGATTGACAGATTTTGAGCAAAACAACTTTTGTTACCAATCCTTTAACAAATTAAAATGAACAATTTTAACTATGCTAATTATTATATAAATATAATTTAAGATGGATTTACAACATTTACTTATATTATGTTGTTATGGAGGACAACCATATATAGACTTTCATCAGGATATCAGTCATCAGTTTACTCGACAAATGGATCCAACCGAATGGATGGCTACGGATACTGCCGGTATCATATATTATATAATAATTATAATTATAATAATAATATATATATTATAGGCATATTATTAATGCAATCAGATAATAGTAGTAATATGAATGATATTCCTCGTTTAAATGAAATTCAATTAGCTGGTACAAACATATCAAATTGTGATTTATTCAATGTCACATTCATGACAACTTCTGATCAACAATTATTTAAAGCTTACAAAGCTGATTTATCATGCAGGTACGTCTTTTCACTTTTTATTATTTTACTTTCAAAAAATATTATTTATTCTCTCTTTATACTTCATTCTTATTCCTCTCTATAGTTATTGCTCTATGAAAGAGATGCAGCCATCTTCACCTATCCACCTTCTTCCATCCCTACTCTTCCTTCTCGCCCCCCCCCCTTCCCCTCTATCTCATCTTTATTTCTCTAACTCTCATCATACACATGATCTTTCATCACCAGTTCACGTAACATTCTTCAACACAAATTTATGCTTTTAAGTGAAGAAATTTTTTTTTTTTTGCTTCTCATAACTGAAAAAGAATGAAGGGAATGAAAAGAAGAGAATATTCGAGGGTTTACATGTGATTGTATAAAGCACAGACCTCTCTCTCTCTCTCTCTCTTCCTGTTTCTCTCTTTTTTACTTTTTGCCAGATTTCTCTTATTTGTTCAATTGAAATCTGATAGTTTGTCATATTTTTTTTCAATTTCTCTACAGGCTTTATTGAATAACCTTTTGAAATAGGAAGACATTTGTTTTGTTCGTTTTCGAATTGACAAAAAAAAAATGTCTGTTATATGATATAACAGCTTTCGATTGATTGAATCATCATTAGCAACAATGAAAGCTCAGCTTAATGGATTTCTCTTTTCATAATTTTTTTTTGTCATTTCATACAACTTTTAATTACAATTTGTTCAACTACAACAATAGTATTTAATTAATATTTTTGATGATGGTAGTAGTGGTGGTGGTGATGATGGTGTTGTAAGCTTGCTTCAAATAATTCATTTAACTCCGCCTCCATTTTAATCTTTCATTTGGATATTGCCTTTGACACTTTTGTCTTATTACAATCAGATCATCCTACACTACCTCTTTCAAATGGTTCAATAGAATGTTTCATTTCCATCTTTCATCTTTCCCTTCCACTCCTTTTACTTCTTCTACTCCTTCTACTCTTTCTACTCCTTCTATACTTGTTTTTCAATAAGAAGAAAAAGATGATGAGAAGAAAGAAGAAGAAAAAAAACGATTCTATTTGAAAACTTTTTTATTTTTTTTCTTCTTCTCTCTCTCTGTTTCTTTTATTCCCTGAGGGCGTGAACGTTCCAAAGTTGGATGGAGATAAGTTGAAACAGAACTCGAGTTGCGTTCTGTGATCGAAGCTCACTTACGAACGTTATTTGCTTATAAAACTCTTTCTCATATTTACTTTTAATAATTATAATACAATTCATACAATTTTATGAAGTAATACATGTGTTATCTAATCATCTGACAGATTATCAATTTCATCTTCCAATTTTCAATTTGATAATCGTCTCTTAATCTTTCGTGCTAAGACTTAATGAAAACATTCATTCTTTCCTTAAAATTACTTTTCTTCATTCAAACTCTCTTTTCGAAGCCTATTCTCTCTCTATTCTCTCTCTCTCTCTCTCTCTTTCAATTTTTCTCTTTGATCTCTATTACTCTCTCTTTCATCCTCCTCTTGTGCTTCATCTTTCTCTTCTTTTTTACAAACCAATATGTGTGTTTATATTTCGAGAAAAAAAAGAATTCATCCTAACATCTGGTTTGTCAGATGCCATGCTCAACAGTGATCGCTACAAATACCCTTAGGGCATTTACTTTTTTTGTTCACAACACAACATTTTTTGATTTGAAAACGTTGAATGTATGACATTTGTTTTGATAATCTCTTTTCTCTATAACTTATCTTTCTCTTCGCTTTTTTTTCTCTGAGTACTTCCATGTACTTTTCGGTCGGATTCACGTGCTATGAATGCTCCGCCCAACCATTCAGAGCAAATTGTGAGCTGAAGCTAAAAGCTGGTTTAAGCTTAATGGCATTTCTCTCTTTAATTTGAGCTTTTCTTTTCATGTTCAAAAATGCAAAATATTAAAAACATCAAAAAAATTGTTTATATTATTGAACTGAGAGACTGAGTTTATAGAATCAAAGCTTAGCTGTATCTTGATTGAAAAGGAGTTTTTTTTTCATTTTTCAAATTATTTTTTCTTTCTTTCTTTCTCTTTCTTACTAGAAGAAGAGGAAAAGAAAGAATATTCTGTTGAGAGGCTTATGACTGATTCAAGCTCTGTTTGAATGCTCAGGATTTGATCAAACTCTCATATGACTGAAGCTTCTATACTTCATATTGATTATTATACTTTTTACTTTTAAATATAAAAATAGAACAGTTTTTCATTAAAAATTTCATTTTCAGATGTCCAACTGGTGCATACGGTTCGTCGTGTGAATATCTGATTCATTCATCTAACACTGCTGCTCTCAAATCAACTGTTGATACATTAAGCTCACAAATAAGCTTACAAAAAATCTCGATGATTATTGTCCTAGCTGCTGTTCTACTCGCTTTCTTCATCATCACATTCATGGTACGTCTTCTTCTAATTTTTTTTTATTGACTTTCTTTAAAAGCTGTAAAGGTGAAGCATCATTTTCCCATTACTTCTTTTCTCCGTTCTCTCTCATATTCCCATTGAAAAGAGCATGAAGATAGCTAAAAGCTTTTCTTTTTCACAAATACTTGATGAAGGGAATAAGGCCGATAACAAATATCTCCTCTAGATTTTTAAAGTTCATGAAGATATCCTTAAAGCTTGAACATCTAAAGCTTAACGTTTGGTCCTCAAAGTTGATGTGTATTTAGAAATTGACTTTACGCTCTTTTGAAACTTCTTTTACTTCAAATTTGTTTTTCTTCTCCTCATGAGTTTCCCTTTTTCTTTAAATTTTGTACTTTTCGCATCAAACCTTACGTATCCCACTTTCATTACTTATTCAATTCAAACAGCTGAGCCATTTCGCTTTTCTTATAACATGCCTGGCGAAAAGCTGGATCGATGAGCTATAGTTAGCCGTTGGTTTTGACTAAAAACAGCCAGAGTGTGTAAGAGCAGAAACCCACTGGCTCGACTTCTCTTCTTCTCGTGCCATTTTGGCCGCCACCGAGTCCAGCCTGCATGCCTCATTTTGCCTGCGTGTCTGCAGTCTCTGCTTTTCACGTTGTGATCTTCATTCCTTTTTTCTGCCATTACTTGAGACCAGTCTTGTTCATGTTCTAGCTTAGACCTCTTTAGCTTTTTAGTTTCTTCCTATGTCAACGAGCAGCTTCAGCTTACTATACAACTGTTTCTTTTCATTTCGTAAACTCATTCCTTATTTCGAAATCTCATTCGAGCTAACTTTTGTTCAATTTTTTTCGATTTTTAGTTTATCCAGACGATACTCCTTTTTGCTTATTCAACTTTGGATACTCACCTTCTCTCTTTTCTTGTCATTGATCAATATCAGAAGTGTTGCATTTTCATTTAATATTCGGCATACAAAGTATGTTGTTCCTCAGAATTGTTGCATTCCAAGCTCACTGTCTCTCAGTGCAGTTGCAATCCAAATTCTCTACTTCCCAGAACGATTGCATTTCGAACTCACTGCTTCCCAGAACTGTTGCAATCCAAACTCACTGTTTCTCAGATCGGTTGCATTCCGAGCTCACTGTTTCTCAGAGCGGTTGCACTCCAAGCTCACTGTTTCTCAGAACGGTTGCATTCCCAGCCAACTGTCTCTCAGTACGGTTGCATTCCAAACTTACTGCCTATGACAACGATTGAATTCATATCCTACCACTTCATCCAATGGTTTCGTATTGTGAATGGGAAGACTTATGACGCAATGTCTGTCGTGAATGTCTAGGCATAACTCATTCATTTCTCCATCTGGAAGAAACGGATTCATACTCTCATGCAGCGGCAGCTTATTTCTCATTTTTCATTCCGCTCAGCTTCAGGATTCCGTCATTCTGCAAGAATCGATGTAACTCTTTTGCATTCCTTAGAGCTGTTGCACAAATCCATAAAAATGCTGAATAGAGAGTATGTGGTTATAAGCATTTTGTAAGAATATTCAAATTTGATCAATATAAAACTGCGAAAAGAGCCTTATGAACTCATAATAGTGACATATGATAAGATAAAGAGAAGATGACTCATATTCTAGAATGATGTCAAAAATCATTTGTCTCATAACTATCACAACCTCCTACGAACAATCAGTTGTTGAAATTGATTGAAAGATGAGCTTCAAAGTATGTAGAGTATATGTTATAACATTAGAAAGCTAAGAGATATCATAGAACTAGCATAGTTCATTCGAACATCAATGCTATCACATAGAATTCTTTAAAAACACATTCTCAGCAACATTTTCATATATTCTTTCTCATTCAAATCATATAAGCTTTAAATGAAGCTTCTTTAAGCATTTGTAAGCTGAATGCTTCATTCAAGCATTTATCAAATATTTTTATTTTTTGTTCTTTCCATTTTGAACTTTCAACACGATGATAATACATGCTATTTGCAATAAAAATGTGTCTATTTTAAGAAAGCAAAAGACAATCTGATAGACATAAAAGAGCTTTTTCAACAGAATATCTTTAACTATAACATCTTTCTTTAATTATATGTAAATAGATAAAAATAATCAATAGTACATATATAATTAGCTTAACTATATATTATATAGCTAATTTCTAGATATATATGTTATAACTATATTAAAAAATATAAAGTTAATCCCCCCCCCATCCCACCTTACTATATATCATGCAGATAGTTTGCAAAAATATGTATTTAATATTACATTTTATAGCTTAGAACTGCACATGGTCATATACTTTTCTTATAATCAACACATCTCAAATAGTATATATATATCTATATATATATATATATATATATAGATAGATAGATAACTTTAGTTAGTTTTATAAATTGATTCATTAACTATGTGAATCAAAAGAGATTTATAATAAACGCCTTTATTTACTTAACCATATAATATGATCAAGATGATCTTTTTAGATGAACATTTCATTTTTTCGTTATCAAAATGATCTTAACCATTTGCATATAAAGTATGTTTCATCATCTACTATGCTTCTTCAGTTTCTCACACATTCACTCACTCACTCACTCACTCTTTGTATCTATATGTTGAAAGCGTATCCTAAGTTGATTCATTTTGATATGCCTTCAGGCACTTTTTCTATCTCTTAACATTGAGAAATGCATATGATGAGTTGAAACTATCATATGAACACAACTCATTCTATATATAGACTGATTCACTTTCATTCTTATAAGGTCATATAATTGCATTTTGCCCTCAGGCTGTTTAAGGCTAATATTGACTCAATTTTTGTCCAACATTGATTAAATAAAACCAAAAATAAATTTTTTTTTTGGAATTCATCTCTCATATCATTTCTGACGACAAGCAATCAGTTGAACAGAAAAGAGAATTGAATGAAGAACAACTTGGTCATTATGCAAGTCATTTTTCAACTTCTGTTTGTTCTTCTGCCATCTAATTGCCTTTGCTCTTCAGATAACAACTCACTTGCTGTCGTCTTCAGCTAAGCTTTTGCTCATAATTCGTTGTTAAAACAATTTTTTCTCATTTCCAATGGCATATGACATGCTTAGTCCATTGCTAGCTTCACCTTAAATGCTCGTTCCCATTTCTTCTTTCAACATTATTTAACATTTGGCACTTTTCAGATGGTTCGTGGTTGCTTTTGCGATTGCTTCGGCCCGTTCTCACTCTCGTACTCGAAAGCTGGACAGGAGCCATATGATAAACCACTTGACCCTCGTGACGTTGAGAAATGTCTTCGAAAATATCGTCAATATGAAGCTGAGCAACAGATGGCTGTACGTTTACCTATGCTCAAATAACTAACTGATAATAATATAATTTCAGATGGATCAGAATAGGCCTCTAGTTGCAACAATCAGTTCAAGTTATAATGCTTACAATCCAACAACAGTTGGACCTACAGCACCTTTACCACCACCAGCAGCGGTAAGTTATTTGAAATTATAATTTTCATCTTCTATGAATTCATATTACTGATAGCTGTATATTCAGAATCCACAATATCGCCCACCTTCACCTCCTCCATCATATAGTTCAATAGCTGGTAGTCAAGATCGTTTACCTACCACATCAATCTAATTACCAATATTCAATATAAAGTATTCGATGACGTCACTGAGTCCCGGTTATCAGAGTGAGATGTAGAAAGATAGATTTATAAGGTATTATACGATATAAATTAGTGAAATGAATCATCCATTTGTCGTTATCAATCAGATTATCATATGTTCATAACTGTTATAATATAATTAAAAATGATATTCTGTCTGTTTTTGAATCATTTTCACTCAAAAATCTTCTGTTCAAATGAAAATTACTTGTGTGCCATTCTCTTTCTCTCTAACACTCTCTTATATATGTATTATGTTTCTCTCTTTTTACTATTCTCATATATTAAAAAGATTTTAATTTGGAAGTCATTCTAGTCATGTTGTACATAAGAATCATCCCCCCCCTCCCCAACTTCTCTCCTTGTCTCTCTTTTTTTGATGTTTTTTCATAATAAATTCTTTATATGAATCATAGTGTCTTATCATTTCGAAATTTCAGTTTTAAGCTTCTTCATATAAAGCTTACTCTCTTTCCATTCAGACACATATGGACATGATGTTCGTTGATGTGTTCGAAACTAAAATAAGTTTCAGTGTTGTTCTACAAGAGCAATCTTGTTATGTCAATCAATCTTTGCCAATCAATTACATTAAATGGTACTTTTCCTTTTTAATTCTATTTATATTCACATAGTTAATTAAGGGTTCCTTATTTTCGAAATTCACAAATAGTATCATTGAAGACGGTGTTAGACCTTGATGACCATACTGAGCCTTGGACCATCCAGGCAGATGTCAAATGCAAAGTTAACAAAAAATATTTTGTAAGCTCAATATTGTTAATTTAACAAAATGGAGAAAATCTATTCTAGAATGCTGTCTATGAATTTCATTCAGAAGACAAGTTAGAAGATTCATTAGATCTATTTGATGTTTACCAGTTGGAAACGCTCAAAGTATTACCAAAATCAAAAAAGTTCGATGTGAAAGTCCATGTAAAAGTTCAGAAAATTGAAGGATTGTACGTTTTTTGAAACTTCAACTTGCCTCATTTGCATGTTTACAGACCTGTTATGAGTACGAACTTCTTTGATTCATCAAATCCAAAAGCAGATGTGGAGATATGCATAGATGACTATGTATTTTATGCTCAAAAAAATATATTACGACAATCGGCTGTCTTAGAAAAAAAAATGAAAGATAAAAGTAAGTTGAGATGGATAGAGAGTAATCAAACATGTTTTGAGGTAGAGTACTCAGAAACGTATTGGGTATGAAGAGAATTCGACTTACCTTGAGTAATGAGTCACCTCGATTGTTCTTACAAATCCTTCAATCATTATATGAATGGAGGTTTGAACTAACAGGTAACAACACTTCACAATCCCTCCGTTTACTTTTTGCTATGATTTTTAGAAAAAAATTTGCGAATGGTACTAGAAACAGCTCATCGATATGAAGTTCCTCATGTTATATCGCGGTGTGAACAATTCATTTTATTTCAAATTGACAGACAGATGGCTAAAACACTTGAAATGACATCGTTTCGTCAAACAATGGTAACAGATGATTAGATATAATGATTATGAAAATCTTTTTTCGTTCAGAAAAGTTGGTTTTTGAAAAATATATTTGTGGGGAAGGCGGAAGAGGAACTTCCACTATTTGATTGCTTGGTAGAAGTTATATGCTGGTGTGCTCACTATTCAATGAAACAACTACTGGTATGCTCTTCATCGTACATGACAATAGTTATTTACATCTTGCAGAAACGTTGTATTCTGAATTTGAAATCAGACAAAGAGTGGAGTCAGTTGGAATCAAATACAGATTTCATGCGCTTAAGTTGGGTTTATCAACTTGCATGCAAGGAGTTGTTTGAGAAATATCAAAGTAATCGAAAATACTCTCCGATATTCTGGTTGTAATATATAGTATTATGTATATAAAGTATAAATTATTAGAATAAACAGCTGATATCTGATATGCTAATTCAAAAATTACGTGAAAAACGTCAATCAAGATCATTCAAGAATGGGTGGGGTAGGGAGAGCGGTTGCATTCCATCGACCGATCACGATCAAAATAGAAAACATTCACCTTTTTTCATAGAAATTCTGTGAAAAAGGAAAATGTTTGATAACATGTCTTTACCCTATAATCTTATCTATTTCCATATCAAGAGCCTTCGATTCACTCAATTTGTATCTCGTCGATTGCTGCCCTTCGACCCCCTTCCTGTTCAATTTCATTCAATTCGTTAATATGTTTTCTTATAACCAAGTTGTCCTAGTGTTCATTGGTGCAGTTTATGCTCTTTCATTATCCATTATGCTCTCATAAGCTTATTGTATTATTTATTCAAAGCTATGTTCTCAAAAGGTTATGGCGTGAGTGATAAGCAGCGGAATTGACACACTTCACCCCTTCCTAGAACCTTCCGTCATCCCATCAGCCCATTCATGTTTTTTTATAGATTAACCTTGCTCTTTTAGTTCTTCTCAGATAGTTCATTGAGTAACTATCTTTCTTCTTCTTACATCATCATTCCCTCCCTCCCTCCCGTATAGTTACTTTCATTTACTTATAGCTTATCAAATGGTTGTGGGTCATCAAGTCAGTTTCCCTCTTTATGAAAACTGGTTGGAAAACCTGAAAGAGAAGCATAATTCAAGTTCCTTTCAATGGGTTCAACAGAATCGTCATTTCCCTCTTAATGAAATAACCAAGTCATCACGCGAATTGGATGAAATTCGTCGTTCAGTTATTGAATCGCACCAAGTTCAGGTCAGCAACATTCTTTGAAATCAGTGATAAGTTAGTATGTTTTAATCTATTTTTAATCACAAAGAGAGGGTTGATAAAAGGATTTGAAATGTTTCTTTTGTTAAAGGAAGCCATTGATGCTGAAGTTCAATCAAGGAAATGCACAAGAGATGAAGTTGTGACAGAAGTTTATGAAATTCTTGACATCATGTCTCACAAATTTCAATTATCATTTGTAAGATTATTTGGATGTGCTATAGGAAAAGGATTACAAGTACATATATAGAAAAGGTTATTATGATGAAACATTCTTTAAGAATATATTTGATGGTGTTTATGTGAATGCTGAACATGCTCGTAGAATCCGTGAGATTACAAAGACGAGGCCAGTAGTCTTTATGCCATCTCATAGGACATATTTGGATTTTCTATTACTTTCAGTTATATGTTTTGAATATGTAAGGAAGTTTGCTTACAGGAGAAGAATCATAAATGAATCTTAAGGAAATTCCATTACCAGCTATAGCAGCTGGAATGGACTTTATGAATAGTCCCTTGATGGGAGGAGTTCTTAGACGATGCGGAGCATTTTTTATGAGACGATCTTTTGGGAAAGTACGTATTAGAGAATTGTTTTTATTGTAAGCTAGTGATTGCAGGATCGTCTTTACTGGGCTGTTTTCTCGGAATATGTTCAGAATCATTTAGTCAAAGCAGATAGACCTGTAGAATTCTTTGTAGAAGGCACTCGCAGTCGTGTGGGCAAAAGCCTTCATCCAAAGTATGGCTTGTTGCAAATAGCACTTGCCCCATATCTTAAAGGAGATGTCTTCGATATAGTTAGTTTATTACTAATGAATTATGAAAGTCTTTATGTACTGTTCAGACTGTTGTACCTGTCTCCATGAATTATGACAAAATTCTGGAAGAATCGTTGTATGCATATGAGCTATTGGGATTTCCCAAACCAAAGGAATCAACATCTGGTATAAGAAACGGAGATAATGCTCTCATTCAGTAAATCGTTTTCAGGATTATTCAAAGCCAGAGATATTTTTAATAAGAATTTTGGTCGTTGTTTCATAACGTTCTCTGATCCAATATCTGTTAGAGAACTGTTCGGAAAAAGACTTCAGTCGACTTCGTTTGTTAGCCAAGTGAGCATGAATGGATGTTTCAAACTAATTACTTTTCTGTTCTAGCCAAGCTCTCAGTTCGTCTTAGAAGAAAACGCCAAGAGAGTTTTACGCAAATTTGGTCATCAAGTTGTGAAAGCGAATGATAGAAATTCGATAATTACTGTATGGCCAGTAGCGTGTATGGCTATGCTTCATGTGAGACTGCGCTTCGCCATCTGATTGATATTGACCCCTTTCAGACCCTCGATTCAAACGATGATGAAGTGTTCACTTTCTCTGCTCTTCATCAGCATGTTAAGTATTTGATCGATTTGCTTGAGAAGCTAGATGTTATTGTGACCATCAACCAAAGTTTAGGTGAAGATCTTAGGCGAGTAAGAATTGAGAGAAACATCCTTCATCCCTACTCTATTTAGTTACTACATAAAGCTACATGACGATCTATTTCATCCAATAGCATACGGAGATGATTATGAACTTCGTTTGAAAGATTTTCCTATCGATAAGGACGGCTTTGTGGAAAGAGACATCATGAAAAGAGCTGTATCACGTCTTATACTAACAACTTATTCAAATGTGGTTAGTTATAGCTAGCGTGGGCTAAACCTAAACTTGTTTCGTCTTCTTCAGATGATCCATGGAGTTGTGGAAATAGGATATCTAGCGGTTATAATGCTTCAACTGGGACTGAGAAACATTCATGGCATCAAAGAAAAATTCTTGTAAAGTTAACATCGACATCTCAATGACAGTAGTAATCCATTGCAGCGAGCTCGTTCAGCTTTTGAAGAGAGAATTCGTTTGTGTTCCCGAAGAGGAAGAGAAGATGTTCGAAGAAGCTTTAACTAAATTACGAAAATCGTCAATTATTGGAGTTTCAAATGAGAAAATGCAAATTAAAGGAATTGGCGAATTGGAAACTCTACGAGACATTATAATGGTTTGAATAACTGAATATAGACAACATAATTCTCCCTTTCAGCCATACATTTGTCATTTCCATGTGGTTTTAATGAGCATTTTGGATTCTCAGAAAGATGCTTTAGATATTCCATCTTTGGTAAAAACAACACAACAGGTAGATTCATCATACATTCTTCTATATTTGTTGATCAACACAGGAAATTGTGAGACGGTATGAACTTGGTGTTGGCATTCCAGTTCGTTTGTCATTCTTATCAACGGAGCCCATTAAAAACACTTTTTATACATTGCTTGATATGAAATGTTTGGAAAAGAAGGTTTTTGCTAAAAGGTTAAGAGGTTCTCATGTAATCTGTTTGTAGGGCGATAGATATACTCCCATTGTCAAGGATTTAGTAGAGATTCTGAACAAAACTGCTCAATATACGGGTCAAAATGGTGTAGATGAGTTCATTGTAGAAGAAGCTAAGCTTTAGCTTATTGGTCAAACAGATTAATAAATATGTTTATAAGGCACATTTTGTTCATTTGTACAAAAAAAAAGAATAACAAAAGAGAAACAAGAGGGAGACAATGCGGAATGCGACATTCAAGCCCAGGCTGCTTTCAGCTGATCGAAGTAAACGGCAGTTTCATCAGAAGTCTTAAAATATAAATGGGAATTTATTAATAAGAACTGAATACACTACTTTCACCTTTACCGTAACAACACGTCCATCTAAATCTATTATTTCTACTGGTTCTTCCATATTCTTCTCACTTCCATATAGAGCGTTCCATGCTTCAAGTATATGGATGTTCATTACATGTCATGTATAAACTAACCTTCTCGATAGTACCGTATGATTCGTAGTTTTACTTTTGGATGGTAAATAGATAGAGTGATACATACAGTGAAAGGAGAGGTGGCTACACCAACATCAAAGATAAAACCTGTGAACTTCTCCAACCAGATGTTGAGGTATATGAATCTGAAGATGATAAGTATTGTTCGTTAATCTTCTCGTGTTCTCGTTCTCTCTCTCTCTCTTAGTCTCTCTGTCTCTGTTCGAATGTATGTTACCTTGCTAATGCATATCCAAAGTATGAAATTAAGCAAATAGTTGTCTGTACTGTCATGAAGAAAAAACATTTACTTAAAGCCAATGATGTTATGACATTCTCTCGTAACTGAAATATTTGAAAATTTTAAATAAATTTGCGTTTGTTTTTCTACTTGATAGACGTGACCAACTGATAGTTCACCTCGATTATTCTGCCAATTGCGATAATTCAATGTTCGCACAAAGAACATTACCTGAAATAGAAACTAAAAGGAAAAACAGATGCAATTTCACAAAACCACTATAGCTGAAATAATTGGAAACGTCAAAGCTCCAACAATGAGAAATCGTGAAGCTGGGCCATCTTTGTATTTGAAAATCACATAACAGACTGTTACCCACTGGAATCAGAAGGACTATATGATCATTACCGTATTCATTAACTAACCAGAATGAATATGGAAACAAGAACTACTATTGCGTGGTTTTCAGCTTCATATCTATCAGCCCGGATTGTTGCAACAAGTCTTTCAATGGCAATTAGGAAGAGGTGCAGTCCGCCTGAACATAATTCGGTTTAATCAGATGGAAGTTACCAAAAGAGCAGATTGAGAAGTATGTTTCAATGATTGGATAGATACATACGTTTGCTTAGCAGAATGTGTGTGAAGAAGAGATATTAGAGACTCACCTATGCACATGCAAATATCTCGAAGTTTAAAGAAGAGATCTGCGTCGATAACGTTTTCCGGCAATCCTATCATTATGACAAAACAATATGGAAAGCGAATTATAGATGTCGCTGATAGAGTCATGATGAAACTATATAGGATAATGTGTAAGTTAACATGAATCAGATGAGGTTTGGCTGATTGGATTATGAAAAACATAGCTACTAGTACAGACATAATATGAACAATTATCTCAATGCCACAAAAGATTCGATAAAGGATGTGGGCGATTGGATCTTCTGGAGCTGTTTCATAGGCTGGTGATGAAGTGATTATTAGATAATTCAATGAATTATTATGATTTTCCATATTGAAATAGGGAATAAGAGATAATGAAAGTCGCCTATTGAGAGTTGAAGTAGTGAAGCAAGGACTTCACTGCTATTCTTCTTGTGTTACTCTTGAATCTTCGGTGAATGCGCCTGAAATCAGAGGAGAGATGAGAGTAGTATAATATATCACTGAAAAATTACATAAGCAGAAAGAAAGAGAAAGAACGAAAAAAAGAAGAAAAAGAAAAGATAGAAGAAGGAGATACACACAGAGGTAGGATGGATGAGTAATGCTTGAGCTTTGACTTAATGAAATACGCAAGAATAGATAAGATTCTCAACAGATGTTGAGCGACATAATGAGAAAAGGAACTGCTTTTGCTTTCGGTCCAAGTTAATAAAAATCCCAATTTTAATATATGAAATGGATTAAAAGAGAGAATATTTGAGTCAACTTTATGTGATTAAAGGAAAATGAAATGAAAAACGAAAGATTATTTAAGACAAAAGGGTTTGTTGGAGAGAAAATAACAGGACAATGACTTCTTCTCAAACTACATACATCTGAAAGCTTCCTACATGAAGATAGAAGCAGTACAAGTAAACTGCTTAAATACATGCTTCTTCTCACATTCATCGTTTTTGAGAAGGAGGGATTGTGAACGGATTTTCTGTGACCTAATTGCCAGCCTCAGCTTCAATAGCTTCAGCCATCTCCAACAAGAATCAACAAAACTATAATTTTGAAAGCAGAAAAAGCCCCGCAGAGTTTGTGTGTAATCATTGAACATCATAGTTTTTAAAGAAATGAAAATCACTATTCAGCATTGAATTAGTGAATAAAGCAGATTGTAGAAACCCCTTCGTTCAACCTTTTCCCATTTTCTCTTTTCACCCTTCTCTCTATCTTTCTCTCTTGTCATCTGTCACACTCTCCATTTCTCTCTCTGAATCTTTTAAAATTCTAAAGATTTGACGTCTTTTTTAGATATTTCTTCTTCATATCATCTCAAGAGCTACAGCTGACTTGCAGAAGCACTAATTATTCAGAAGGCTCTACGTCATGAGCATCTATGACAGTTATTCCTCTCAACTACATAACACAACAGAATAGACAGCAGAGAAGAAATGAGAATAGGAGATATTCTTGTGAAAAAAGAAAATTCTCGAAAAGCTTCTAAAGTTCAGTGAATCGTAACAAGTTCTCATTTGAAAAAGGAAAAGCCGAAAGGGGTGGGATGGAGAGGGATAAAGAGAAGGAGGAGTTTAAGTTTGAAGTAGCGTTCTGAGCTCGGACATGTGCTTTGGATCTATCACTGAACATTTCAAAAATGTATGGATCACTCAGTTTGTTTTCACAACTTCTATTTCCTGAATGAAAAAAAAGGTTCTGAATGAGATTATACCAAATTGGTAATGTTATAAATTATATTTTATCTCAAAGAGACTTCGCGAAACCCCATATGATTATAAGAAGCATAGCTACCACAGCTCACCACTTTTCTATATCAGAAACCCATAAAAACCTTGCGTAATACAATTTCCTGAAATAAAACAAATTTCCTAACAAACCGAAACTTGCTTCCACTATGAGCTGTTTCATATGAAATGATCAAAAAAAACATTAAAAGTATTTTTGGACATTGGTTCGCTCGTAAAAGATTATAACAAATAAATGAAAAAACGGAAAAAAGAATTGCCCATGACAGGAATCGAACCTGTGTCACCACGGCCACAACGTGGGGTACTAACCACTATACTACATGGGCCGATAGCCAACGTCACAACTATGCTATTTGAATGCACACGATGCAAACCTTTCTCTTGCAAACATTTTCTAAACTTAAATTGGAGACGAAAACACTGAAAAATTCATTCTAAAGCATGAAAGTGAACAAAGATTCAGAAATTCCTACATTCACTCATGTGACTAATATTACCGTTGAATCAAACTATAATTAAAATTATTTTATAAGAGAGAAAAATTGTTTTTCAACTTGAAAATAGCATTTAGACATAGAAGTTGAAGCATGTATTAATTTCAAACCAAATGTTTATTTTCATCGAAGTTACAAACATCAGAGTAATTACAAACAGAGCAAAAATTGCAAATTTTTAGAGATCTTGGAGTTGACGAGCAATGTCTTTAGCGACAGCATAGTGAACGATTGTTGAAGGATTCCATAAATCGTGATAAGCATAGCGGAATGCTGAGCGTATACTGAAATTGGTGATTCAAACTAAAATTCTGATTATCAAAACAAATTTGGTTGAAATTTGCACAAAACGCAGAGCCCGTTATAATTAATTAATCATCGCATTCATTATTGAAGTGACAGTGAAGTTTGAATTCCTACTTTGAACTTTTTTATGTAAATGATCATATCAAGTGAGAAATCAAATTAGCATTCGTCATAGGCTGGCGTGTCGACGTGTTGAACGGTTGCTCAAATTCAATCAGTGACGATTACTAACCTGGTGTCTGGAGAGTGATGAGAGAAAGGTTGTGTTGTGTTCAAATGATATGTTGAAGTAAGAATGATTGGATTTATATCAATATACTGAACAGTCAGTGATGGAGACATACGACGTACACCCAAATCTCCATCAAGAATCAATTGGCCTAACTTCTGAAATAGCTACCTATTGTATGGTTGCACATTGATGACACATACTCTGTTTGTATCAGAAACTAATTGACCTAGGCGGAATCGTAAATCGTCAGAATCTTCTGAACTTCGCACGCCAGGTGCAGAAGAAACATCCATTAGAGATAACACAATTAGTGTTCCTCTATCCAAATTCTTAAAATGATTCATAAGTATAACATATACATATGCATGTATAAATATATATTTCTCAAAGTGTTCATACTTTTGTTAATTTATGTAAAGTTGATTGAATGTTACTCAGAACAGCTGTGGAATCATTGTCTCCAGTAAAGAAGTCAATGGAGCCACCTGATTGAAACACAATTATGGGATCTAAATTTTTTTTTCTTTTTACAATTAATCAAGATTGAATTACCCAAATCGTATTCAGACTCGGCTTCTAAGAACTTGTCAACTTGCCATTGTACCCCGGACCATCCATTGAAATAAAAGTTATCCTGCCCACTCTTTGCCCCACTGTAGGCAAAGTTCAGATACTTAAAAAGATCAATTAGGCTAGTGAAGATCAGAGATAGTCAATCCAATGCATAATTGCTCAGACGCAGATTAAGAGTGAACTTATTGAAAGTAAAAGAAGTAGATGTGCTTTCGTGTTACCGTTTCACATTGTAGTAACTTGTTCAGATATTCTGCATAGTTTGGGCCATTGCAATCACGAACGAAACCATGTGATGGACCCATAGCTTCCACTCCATCATCAGAAAACGAATCACCAAAGACAATTAACGTTGAACAACGAACTTCACGAGGCTGGAAGAAGAATGTAAGTTAAACACAAGCGTTGATAAATTCAATTATAACAGTATCTTCGTCACATACCTTGTGTAAGATGCGAGCAGTCGTATAGGTGTTTATCAATACAACGATATAGAAAGCTGACCTCATTAAGTTTGAATGAAGCATTTTTAGTTTAATTGAATAAAAATATTTAAAGTGCCGTAAACACTAGAAGTTAGTTATGATGGATAATACAGATGACAATTATGAGGTCGTTGATGGTCAGAAATAAAGGTAGCCTGAGTACACATGAAGCACTCTCCATGTACTCCGTCTGTCGGCTACTTGCTAATACAAAATAGAAGTCCAATGCTTATTCAGCTTTGGGTATAGGATATCATCTATTCTAGCATTATTTACAATATCTTTCTGATTATTTTGAGGGAAAATGATGTTTTCAATGATTCATCTGGTCACTTCAATGACATGGCTCGGACATTCAACGACTGAAACATTACAAGAACTGATCTAGCTGTGCTAATAGAACAAAAAACACATCTAATCTTAGCATCGTTTACAAACAGTACTACGTAACATCATGCAACTTCAATCATCGATGAAGTTCGATGAGGATGTCTTAATGTGTTGACTCAGCTGTTCCACTTATCATGTTCATTCTGATGATAAGCTTACGTGACTCAATATAAAAAATGAGATGAAGAAGATGTGAAGTTGCATATTCATATTACATTTACAACCGTATAACATATAAAATAAAATATAAATCGTTTATACAACAATCAATGCATATTAAGGAGCTATTCTGCTATACCGTATGAATGTATGTTCCTGCATACCATGTGTTAAGGTTTCCATTGTCAAGCGAGCTTGTAACGTATTCTTATCCAATAACGTCCACTCACGTACTAACTAAAAAAATAATACATTTTCAGAATGGTATTTGATCTATTAGAATATACGTCATGCACTGGTAAATCACGACTAAAGCTGATTCTGCCAATGTCCTTCAGTCTGAATCGTATTTGATTCGATGAGATGGGTCCTTCCTCGATTGTAACAAAACCTGAAGTGTTTAAGTTCTATATCGGCAAACAGTTTATAAAGTCTGTAAGCTCATCAGTTGCTTCGTCATCTTTTCAACTATGATATGCTAATGACGTGTTACATTCACAACTGTAACGCGCAAGCTTTCATTTCGAACGTTTTGATTTTGGAAGCGGTTGCATTCAAATAGGTTGCAGCGTCATAACTAGTTTCTAGTGTTCCTAAACCTACCATTATTCATGACGGTGCTCAAGGCTACTTCGCGTGTGTTTGGCTTAACAGATAAGTAGCCATTCTCACTATGAAGCTCGTCTTTATCGTTAATTGACCAAGCGAATGCGCTGAAAAAGGATCAAATTACTGATTTGAAAACAATTTTTAGAAACTTCAACAACCCACATATACCACTAACGGTCAACTAACATTTACAAACCACCGAACACCTACTCATTGAAACTAACACCCAGAAACTGATAGAACATGGGAAAGAAACCGAATACATTCAGATTGAACCAATCATTATTAACTTGAGAAATGAAAAAGTGTTAGTTAGTACTTGGACGATAACCCCCAAAGAAAGAGCATCTCTATACTATAGATGTATGCTGCAACTACTCATTCCAAATAGAAACTATTTGAAAGTTGTAGTTTGCATTTGAAACTATCACCTTTCCCCCCATAACCCCGAAATGAACTTATGGTTAAGGACATGACATCGTAATCTTTCGTGAAAGCAAGAGATTATTCGATGTCAAAATCCGAGTAAACCTTTGTGTTCCATTATCAGGTTTTCTCCTTTCCACTGTCCAGGCTACAGCTCTAAAAGAAATTTCCAAGCTATGTAATATTGTATCAACTATACTACGTGATTGATATAACTCTTCCTATTGATCTTATTTACCGATTCATAATATGATCTACGCATCAAACTAACTTACGTATAGTTCAAGGCTTTTTGAGATTGCATTATATCGTCAGGGATGGAGAACTCAATTTCCTCTCCATAGGTAAACTTTGGAATAGTTGGAAAGATGGCTTTGCCTCCATGCTCGGAACGCCATTTGCCAACAAGAAAACCTAAGGGTTGTAAGCTAGATGGCAGACGTCTCAAATCGTATTCTAAACAAGTCAAATGGAGAACCTCAGTATAACAAACGACTGATTACTATTGTCGACAGAACCACACAGTCCGCAAGATTTTTTACAACTTCTTTTGATATAATCAGTGGAAGTGCAACTGTTTTGTGAAGCTGCTACCCAATCTCGACAATTATTGTCAAAATCTCGGCAGTCATCTGTAAAATCAATTAGCTGAGGAGTATTCGATTGACGTTTGTTATTTCCTAAAGTAAAAGACCAAGAGGTAGTCTGTCACCTTATGAGATGAACTCGACAGTGACTACACTTTCTTCATATTCTCTTGATAGAAAGAAACACAAACAGTGCTAGTGTGTAAAAATGCTTTTTATATCGAATTAAGTATGAAATTCCTGATCGAAATAATACCTGCAGCAGTCGTCAATGTTATAAAACCCACAAGGGACAAGCAAACGATCAGAGAACGCATTGTTGCAACTTAGTCTGAGAAAGTTGATATTAGGATTAGAAAACATGGTGTTTAGAGGTGTTCATGCTTAATACAAGAAACGTATATCGAGAAGATAGCTGATGAAAATAGCCCATGGCATTGTCAAAGTTCAAAACATAATACAGAGGACATGATTATACAATGTACGACGGTGGAGAGAATGATAGAGGAAGAGAAGGAAAAGATACTGAAAAAACGATAGTTCCCCCGCAAAATGAAAAACATTCCCGTACTAGCTTCTCAGTTTGAAGACAGAAGAACTTGTTTGTAATCAAGACTAAGAAGAGACAGAAGGGCGACGTAAGAGAACTAAAATGCATGAAAGAAACTAAAGAGGATGAATGCCGGAAGTTATGCTTTTTATATGCTTATATCTCAAACATTAGATGAGCAAAGTAATGAGCAGCTTGTGTTATCATAGCAAAGACATAGGTGAAACATTCGCTTGTACGGGGTGAGAAGATAGCGTGAACAAACGAGAACATATTTATTGAAACCTAAATTGAAAGAGAAAGGATAAGAAAGGTGATGAGAAGTAACAGAATCGCTATCAATCGTCTTAGGACAAAGATGGAGAAAAATCAATGACGAACAACCTTTCACAATACTTCTCAGAAGCATCAGAACCCAGTGCAGAAAAGGAAAGTTCATGTTTGGTTTCGTAAACTTCTGAAGGTATGTTCTGGAAAAGAAAAGCTGGTAGAGACAAGGTCGGATAAACAGGATGGCTAACACCTCAGATTTCAAACGATAATTGTCCTTGGTTATTCAATGAACTGATTGGTGTATGCTCGGATTACTTTCAGAGCAATTTACCGAAAAATCGGGGCAGAAAACTATTGAGCAACGAATATCAAAAACTTAGATTGAGCAACTCAGCTCTAAATGGCAAATGAAACAGATGCGCAGACCGGGATTAGTATCTCTTTTGATGAGGTAGGTGGGAAATAGAAGTAGGAGAACTCCAAAAACAGCTTGTATTGATTAATGTTATTAAGCAGAAACAAATATGATTGCTTAAAGAAATGATCATGAAGGATGAGATGTGTTAAGAACCTGTGGAGAATCACGAAGCAGTAGTTTTAACAAGTGTGATCTATAGAAGCTACATAAGAGAAAGTTTGGGCATTGGGGTTCGTCTAAGAACTCAGCTATTCAAATTAGTTGAGTTAATCGAATATTTAATGTATTTCGAAAGATATAAGTTTAGATAAGATACACCAAGTTTGGGAATGTGATGGGGACGCATGTGGTAAGCGTCTCTATCAATGACTGCTACTAAGTCACTTGGAGTGAGTTGAGATGTTGAAGACATTGATGTATCATTTACGTCTTTTAACATTTCCACTATTACAGCAACCCAACAACCATTTGTTTCACCTTTTTAACGTGATATTAAGAATGCCGCAGTGCTATCATTCAATGATGCTATATACAGTTCTCCCCCCCCCTCCCATACATTTGAGTTAACGTATTCTTTAAAACTCTCTTCCAATACCTGGTGATAATGCAAAAAGTGTTAGTTCAAGTTTTGGAAAATGTATCGATCTGCCTATCTGAACCGAGTTGCAAAGCAATGTTCGGCTTCAAGTACACAGGGAACTAGCGGAATCAGAGCGAACACATGAACAGATAATCCGCATTGCAATCTTGTTGTTAAAACAACATCAATGACGACGTTTACAGTAAAGACGCCGAAAAACAAAGTTGAATTGATATATGACATCTTTTGAGATACAGGCGAAAGTAGAAACGAAATCGAAATGTGGAAAGAAGAAACGTTGAAGAAGATCATCAAGAATCGTTGGATGAACAGCAACAAGAGCGACTGGCTTGACCCGCAGGGCTAAGAAGACAAAGATGATAAGCGATTTGATTAGTAAGGATTTAACATAGATATAATGAAAATCAACCAGAGAAAGTGAAACAGAAGAGCCGTATGAACTGAATTTCAGAAGAACAATGGAAATTATTCAAATTTTGATAGAAATCGTCATCTGTTCAGAAGAGTAAATTTCCTTTCACATCTTACATCAATTAACTTGATCCGACAGATGCTTGTCATCTATCAGATAACAGTTATCTGTTGTTATTAATAAAATAATAAATTGGAAATCTAGATTGTTACTTCTTCTATCAATGATATAATCATTCTGTTGTGGATTCTCGAAAACAAATTGGGTATGTGAAAGCTTTTGTTTGATTCTTTCATTGTATACTTGAAAAGAATTACAGTCATCAGTAGTAGGTAGTGAGAAGTTTTACTCGGTTACAGTCCTGTTCAACTGGTTAAGATAATATATGATATAAGCTTGCACATGTTGCTCTAACTCATCAAAACTGGACGACTGGCCATCGTGTCAAAACCTTTTTAGAGTACTGTTTTTTTCGTAAATGTTGTCAGTCGTTTTTCAAATTCGTTCATTCTCTACTTATAATTTATTGATTATGATTTAATTATTATTTATTCTTGTTCACATTATAATTTTTAGTGATTGCTTTTTCATTTTGTTATTTCCCTTCATGAAAATGCTTACCATGCTTAGCTGGCAAGCCATACCATGAACACGTTTGTGAAACATTTCGAAATTACAAATGGTTCTGGGATTTCACGTATCTACATTTTTGTGTATGCATTTGTGAAACAATACATAGCGTTCTTCAAACTTTTTTTGATCTTATTCTTATATTTTCTAAGAGAATCTTTAGACTGAAACCAATAGGCAGTGTGGTTATGGGTTGCCTGAGAGTTCATTCAATTTCTTATCATCCTATTTTTCTCTCTGTGGTTTTAGGTGAAGAAGTTTGTTTTTGTGCTATCGGATGAAATTTGAATCAGCTTGGTTTTGCAATTAACGAGATATCTCTCAATTGTATGGACACTTTCTTTCTTTAATACATTTTGTAGTTTGGATTACTCTCACTCTCCCATGGCCTTCCTTCGTGTAACGATGACTCCTGATTTTATTCAACTTTTTTTTTCATTTTGTTTATAATACCTAATGGTTTGATCTTAGTCATTGTTGTTACTGCCCGACGTAGCAAACCTTGAGGGAGAAATAAAATAGAATAATGTACTGATCGAAGCACTTTGTGAATGAATCATAGAACTTTTTAACAGCTTTAAGTAGTTGTTCGTTTTTTTCAGGTTCTCTGAGCCAAGAATGATTGTTGGATAGAAGTAGTTATATGTTTCTATGTTTCGAATGGAATTTTTCTCAGTCAGTTCAACCTCTGTCCATGATCTTGGACCAATAAGTCGGAGACACATCTTATAGGTGTTCGATTTATAGAATGAAAAGCTCTTTTGAGAGTACTGGAAGATGGAAAGAAAGAAGTTAATGTGGTCAGGTTGAAAGAAGAAGAGGTGGACAATGAGGAAGATGTGAGTGTTCATTTTTCTTTTTATCATGACAGAGGAGTTACCTAGGTGCTGGATTTCATTCGCAGTGGAACTGAGTAAAGAACTGCAGTAGCCACTTCTGCCAACTCAAACCCGAGTCGTTCTACAGTTTTCCAGATTATATTGAAACAGTATGTTCAGTCATCAGTTTGTTATAGCCCATTCTTTGACAGACATAATAAGTTGTGGGGTAAATTTTCTTTGATTGACCTTGCTGGTAACGAACGCGGACAAGATACTGG